GAAAAACACAGGGGGGTAGGTCTTTTGACACTTTCCTCCGATTGCCCCGAGTATAAAAGAGGGGCGCACGTGGCGCTTTCCTCCTCTTGCTCGATAGCTTTCCCAGCGTTCTGCACTTTTGATAATAATTTCCCACCCACCACTCCCACTTAATGAGAAAATAAATCTTAGTTGTTGATAGATTGCTACCTTAAACATGTTAAGAATTTGAGATGCTGTTGTTTCTGCTGTTTATTTTGTATTTTTAGGTCACCTGAGTCACTCAGGTGACCTATTGCTATCTGTTTTTGTCTGTCATAGTGTGTGTGTCGTGCGTCGTGCATTAATATTTGAACATTTTCAACTTCTTCTCTGAAATCACTGAACCAATTTCAACCAAATTTGGTATACAGCATCTATGGGTGAAGGGGAACAAAAATTATGAATTTTAGCGTACTGCCCCCTGGGGGGGGGTGGGGCAAAAACCACTAAAATTAGTGCAATCTTTAAAAATCTTCTTCTTTACTCCTGGACATCAAGCAGTTAAACTGTTGGTATGATTGTAATCAACATTGAGTCCTCTACCAAAATTGTGAAATTCATGGCCCCAGGGTCAGAGGTTCTAGTGCTAGGGCGGGGCTAAACAGGTTATATAGTGAAAAAGCATAATTTCTTTGAAATTATTCTTTTCTGTTTGTGGGCATTAAATAAACTAATCAAGTGCATAGGTAAGTTGAAATGATTACCTTTTCCAAAACTGTGAATTTCATGGCCCCAGGGTCAGGGGTTCTAGTGTTAGGGTGGGGCTATATAGATTATATAATGAAAATGCCTTAATTCTTTGAAATTCTTCTTCTCTATTCATGGGCATTAAATTAACTATACCAAGTGCATATAGTTATGTTGAATAAGGCTGCCTCTTCCAAAATTGTGAATCTCATGGCCTCAGGGTCAGGGGTTCTAGTGACAGGGCGGGGCTATATAGATTATATAGTGAAAAATTAATTATTTCTTTGAAAATCTTCTTCTTTGCTCCTGCATATTAAATAAACTAACCAAGTACATAATTATGTTGAATAAGGATAGCTCTTCCAAAAATTGTGTATTTCATGGCCCCTGGACTGGGGGTTCTGGTGTTAGGGCGTGGCTTTATTGAATATATAGTGACAATGCATAAATTCTTTAAAACTCTTCTTTTCTGCACCTGAGTATTTAACCAATGAACTATGTATATAGTTATGAGGAAGAAGGATGTCTTCAAGTTTTGAATTTCACGGTCCCTGGGTTAGAGATTCTTGTGTTGGGGGGGGGTGTTGATGTTTATATAGTGAAAATGCTTGAATTCTTTGAAAATCTTTTCCTTTGTTATTGGGTATAATGCCAATGATCTTGGTATATATTTTTTGAAAAAAACCTCCTTCTTCCAAAAATTGGTTAATTTCCTGTCCCCTGGGACAGAGGTATTAAGGAGGGAGGGGTGATCTAGTTTCTGAAATAATTTAATGCTTTGAAGTCTGCACTTTGGTATTAATCAACAGCATGATGAAATAAAATTCTAAAAATTTCCAAAATTTTGAAAGATGTGGCCCCAGGGTAAGTGGTTCCTGTGGCATGGGGAGCTCAACTGTGGACCCCCCCCCCAACAGAAGAAGCCCTGACCAAGGGGCCCTGAACTTCACTAAAAGTGAAAATGCATTTTCTCTTTGTTACTCTGCACTACCTCTGGGTTTTAAGTAACCAAAATAAGCATGCAGAGTGTATAATTATGATAAGCAATGGTGCCTTTTTCAAAATTGTGAATTTCATGGCCTCTAGTTTTAAACATGAATCAAATTCAATTGTTGGAAAGTTGTCGCATGATACTCAGGTGACCTATTAGGCCCGTGGGCCTCTTGTTCAGGTTACAATTAACTATGGATGTTTTATGTTTATGTGCGCAAGATTGTAATATACAGGCAATGGGACGGAGGAATGACGATATGTTGCTGTTGCAGCTTTACGGATATGCCAGACAAGCAGAGACATTTGTCATCATTATATTAATTATTGTTTATGTATGATTATCTATTTTACGTGATTGGTAGAGCATGTGGTGGCTCGCTAAGGCTACCCTACGAGCCAATACAAGCTTGCTATGGAGTGCACTAAGAGCTTGTATGAGGAATCTGTTCGGTATAACAGTAACCTCGTACCCCGTTCGGTATAACGGGTGGTTATTTTTGCCCTACTCGGTATAGTGGGCTTACCTGTTCGGTATAACAGGTAGTAGCCTCGCTAAGGAATCCCCTAGGAGGCAATTACATATCCCAGCTGACTCGCTAAGGGGTACCCTAGGAGTCGATTTATAAATATTGTTACGCCTTGCTATGGATTACCCTAGAAGGCGAGGTGCCATAACACCCGTTACTGATTTAGGTGTGTGGCACCCAATGATTGTTAAATGCTTGTCTGACATTTGTCATTGAAATAATTATTAAAGCTGTGGCCTTTATCATCCAAGAAACATGTTTTGTTATTTTTTCGGAAAAATATTCAATTATTCATTTAAAGTAGGATTAAAAAGAATAATTATTGTATTAATGGTGTGAACGTCTTTATACGTTTCATTGATGGAACAGCCACTGATCAAGAAATCTGTACAGGCGACATGCCTAATGTACATGTAGTTCATGCAGTGATTAACGCAATGGGTTTTCTTAAGAAATAAAGGAGAAAATATTCAGTGGCTGTAAATATAAAATGAAAAACATTGATGTATATTGATGAATGGTTGTAATTTTCCAGTCTTTTTTTTTATATACATGTATATTCTCTCAATATATAATTGTTATCATTGATAAAAAACAAACAAATGGTATTTTATGCATAAGTTTATTTTTTTCAATATAAAAAGTAATATAGTATCGTTTATAATTAAACTATAACTGAAATTTTATGACATAAGAGAAGCTTAATGTTGATTTACCTGTTAGCAAATTTATCAAACATCAGTAAGAGAAATAAATTCTATAGCAAATTTCTTTTTTGATATGAATCAAGTGGGATTATATCATTTTACGTAAAAGTGTAACGGATACATGCAATACACATAATTTCAAACACAGATAACGTTTTTAAGCTTTTTTGGAACATACTAAAGACCTGATATACTAAAGACCTGATATTTTGACCTGATGAAAAAAAATCATAAAATTATCAATTCAAAGAGTATATTTCAAATATAAGTTAAAAAATTATTGATGAAATTATACTAAATTACACTTTTTAGGGGATAACACTGACTTTGTATCAAGGAGTACTTTTAAAAAGTTGAGGACCTGATATTATTGAATGACCTGATATTTTTGAATGACCTGATATTTTTAGTGAAGACCTGATATTTTTATAAATGACTTGTAAGGGATGGTTTTAAATGACCTGATATATTAGATAATTCTTTTAGAAAGGTTAAACATTTTAAAAGGTTTTGAGAAGAAAATTTTTGCAGCAATTTATGAAAAAAAGGATTTTAAATGACCTGATGATTTCCTACTAAAGACCTGATATTTTTGATGACCTGATATTTCTGAATGACTTGATAAGACCAGGGTTTAAATGATCTGATTTATTATTATATTACATATTTTCAGGAAAATAAAACATTTTTCAATGTTAAACTTTATAAAATTTGAATATTTGCAGCAATTCCATTTCATTTAAGAATATCAGGTCTTTAAAGTTGAAATATCAGGTCATTCAAAATTATCAGGTCATCAAGTTTTGTGAATATACCTTGATATATAGCAAAATAATCTACATATTATCCACTAAAAATGTAATTTAATATAGTTTCAGCTATTATCATCAATAATTTACCCTCAAAAATATGAAATAAAAGTTTAAATTGATAATTTTTATTTCATCAGGTCAAAATATCAGGTCTTTCGTATATCAGGTCTTTAGTATGTTCCAGCTTTGTTTAATTTTGAAATGCTTACATCCCCTAAGCACCTGATCCCATCTTTGACGCTTCTTATGGTCTTTGATTTTGCATTCTTCACAAAACGTTTTGGCAACTATAATTTGAGATTGATCGCTATTTATTTTCTTCACCTTTCACATAACACTGTAAATACAATGTTATACACAGTCAAATGTACAATTATAATTCAAACTGTTCATTATATCCACATATGAATCATATTTATTGATTTTTTAAAAATATATGAGATATATAAGTATTTTATAAATAAATTATATAGCAAAGCATTACATTTTTTGTGATTTGAATAGGGAATCTCCTACATTCTTAAAGTCCAACAGGTCGCTATATAAGAATTTGTTGTAATCGATGAAATGATATGCCTTAACGTAAATAGATATTGTTTTTCGTTGATAATTACATTCCCGCCTTATAAATTGTCATTATGCCTCGGAGGTTATGTTTTTCTTTTTATACGGAATAATCAAGAATTTCTACGACACCCGCTTTTATCAACTTTGAACTATATAAACCTGATAACATTCGAGAGTAATGAAAATGAGATGCAAGATAAAGCAGAATACACAAACATGATTAAATCATTGTCTTTTAGAATGTATTGGTATAACAAGACTAGTAGACTTGGTGTTCAGTACCATGAATCCAATTTCAATCTTTTTAAGTTCCGCTTAGTAATTTGTTATACCATTGATTTATATATGTAAACTGTCTGAAATAGAAAATCATCAAAGTACTTTGTGTCTGCATGCATTGCAATAAATATATTTTCCCCCTACAAATTCAATGCCCGAGTAGAGCTAGAAAAATATTCTAAAGACAAAGCTGTATAATAATGTAGCTACAACACCATTAAAATTTGTTAGAGTTAAATAGATTAAAATTTTACACATTCTGGTATGATTTACCTTTGTTAACTTGAAGTATTTCGTAGGACTCCTCATTAGTATAAATAGGGTTCTGGTGGCTTTTGTTGTTACTGCTATAAAGGACGAAGATTATAAAAAAGAATTCAAGGCAATAATCTTCCAAATGATGAATTTCATTTATAAATACTGCTGAAATAAATAAAAGCAAATATTTTTTTTATTTAAAAATGGATACCTTGCTTTTTCCTCTTCGTTTTTTTCTGAAATAGCATATAAATTTAATTATAAATAGAGCTGAAGTACATGTGATACTGTATGACAAGATGTGTTCATGAAACACCGATGCCCTTATATGGCAGCTTATGGTGAGGGTTAAATGCATTTCAATTTTCCAGAGGTCAAGGTCAAAAGGTCAAAAGTATTGGTACCCAAAGAAAGGTCTTGTTACAAGGAATACACCTGTGAAATATGAAAGCCCTAGTTCTAACTGTTCAAAAGTTTTGACCAAGGTTAAAGTTTTTAAAAAGTGGGTCAAACTCTTAGGTGGGGGTCAAAGGGTAAAAAATATTTAAAGCAGTGGAACGGTCTTGTAACAATGAATACAGATGTAATGTATGAATGCCCTAGCTCTAATTGATCAAAAGTTATGGCCAAGGTTAAAGTGTGGTATTTTTTTGTAAAAATAGGCCAAACTCCAAAGACAAGTGGTTAAATTCGGTGGTATCCAAAGAAGGGCCTTATTAAAAGGAATATACCTGTGAAATGTGAAGCCATAGCCCCATCCAATCAATAGATATTGGCTAGGTTAAAGTTGACTACAGACAGACAGAAAGACAAACAAACAAACAAACAAACAAACAAAAAAAACGGATAATCAGACAGACAGGACAAAAACAATATACCACCGGGATCTCTCGATCCAGGGGCATAAAAATAAAATGAAGCTTTCATGATTTACTGGTTATCGCACAAAGTGAATCTCGTTATATGAATATTATTGATGTAACTTATAAAGAAGCGTACACGTATTTCCGTTCTACTTTTTATTTTAGCCTGTATTGAATGGCTCACCAGAATGTCCACAAGAACAAACGTTTCCTTTCTTTTTTCTTATATACTGTATCAGGAGGACAGAGCTTAAAGCAATGACAATAGTTGACAGTAGCCCAGTAGTTGTTCCAAAAGCCGTAGCTTTTATACATTCTTTAGCAAGTCCAGCTTCTGGGGTTATTTCTTGTGACTCTGTCTGGACTTTAAGTAAAGAATATGATGCAGAGTTATTGATTTACATTTTTATGTAGAATAATAGCGTATGTCTAAGAAGAAGAGAAAAGCAATATTTTTATCTAATTCAACTGATATCAAATACTGTGAAATTACTAATTTTCGTGGTTTTCAAGGTTTGAAGAGACCCATGAATTTATGTCGGCTACGAAATGCAATTTTTCACATACATAACCACTGAAAAATTCTTCAACCACGAAATCAAATCCCCATGAACCAATATATTTTCCTCAAACCACGAAAATTTGACCGCTCGAAAATAAGTGATTTTACAGTATATAATTTTTAAAAAAAAAAAAAATGTATACTCTCATTACGTATTCGTTGGGAAATTTTATTAATAAAGTGCTATGTTATGCATAATATTTGAAACATTTGTCAAAATAAAAAAATAATGATTCAAAAAATCAATTGTAAAATACATCATAATCATAATGTTAGCTAGAATCACTTTTAAAGACGCACAAAATTATAAATTTTATTATTTTGTAATTCTTACAGTAAAGAAAGATTGTGACTGGATCTGAAAGCTCATCGTATACATAGATAGAGGAAGATATTCCTCTACATCTGCAAGCCATCCCATTGTGTCGTGCAGTTACTTTGATTTCTAAGTAAGTCTCTGTTCCTAGGTCTACTCCATTCAGGGGAGGCAGATCGTCACATATCCATCTCCATGATATTTGTGGATAGCCCAGTGTTGTAAGATTACACTTGATGGTAACGTACTCACCGCTCCCTACAGTTGTAGGAGACACAGGATAGATCTTTGGTCGTGTCCGAGGTGAATCTTACAAAAGTCAACATTAAGTCATCAAATTACATTTGAAAATTTAATGCTCCATACACGGTGATTAAAAAAGTTATGATTTTCATTTAAAATATATAACCAAATTTCTAAACAAAGCTCCATGCCCACGTAAATTTGTACTCTATAAATCTTTATGTGCATATAAGCGTAATTTTAATGATGAGTATTAGCAAAAAATAAAATTAAAAAAATATTCCAAGTACAGTCTTTCTTAAAGCATGCAACATGTTTAAAAAGTAAAAAATATTTTTAAGGTTCTTCCTTGATTTATACTTAAAACAGGAAGTTTATATTCAAGGCATATCAAGTTATATGTAATAAAATAAAATATATGAGATACATACTCGAATTAATTTCAAATGGTAACTTTATCTTTATTCAACTAACACTCATGAAGCATATTTATAGGGAAAAGGCATCTTTTTTATTTGCATTACTTTAAGTTTGGGGCACAGATTGACCCTGTTATGGCAAAGAAGGATATGGAGATATCGAACAGTATTCAATCTTAAAGTCCATTAAACAATATACAAAATAGGAGCAGAGCAAACACGGACCTCCAAAACATCAGAGGTGGGATCAGGTGCCATGGAGGAGTGAGCATCCCCTGCTGACCGGTCACACCCGCCGTGTGCTCGTTGTCATGATAGGGAAATAGTGAAAAAATGCGTCATCAATCCAGTGTGTAAATAATGGACTAACAATTAGTATGAAAAAGTCAGCATTTGACTCAATGATAAATTGTATTTGCTAACAAGGTCATGGTATCGACCATAGAACATACGAAATGATGACTTTAAACGAGACTGTTGATATTCTTGTTTTATCAACTTGCTTGTCAATAATTTACCTCGTTTAAGAAATTGTTCATACGTAAAGCATGCTCTTGCGTATCGAATCAACTGAGATATATATACTCCGTATGTAGGTGATGAAGGTATATTGCTGCATAAGTAAGGGAAGTTGACGATAGAAAAGTTAAGGTCATCACGTTTATCATATAGCTTGGTTGTTAGATTACCATTAGTGTCTTTTTCAAGTAAAATATCCAAGTATGAAGCAGAAGTTTCGGACTCTGTGGTATCTTTTATCTCAAGCTCACCAGGATATATCGTATCGACGTAGGAATGGAAATTATCATTATTAATTGACAATACGTCGTCGATATATCTAAATGTCGAGTTGAAGGCCACAGCAAGTGTTTTCTTGTTTTCTTCTTTTCACGCATAAGATTTTGCATAAATTCTGCTTCATATGAATATTAATATAAGTCTGCTAATAACGGAGCGCAATTTGTACCCATAGGAATTCCAATAAATTGTTGGAATACCTGGTCTCCAAAAACCACATAGATATTGTCAATCAGGAACTCAAGCATCTTCTTGATGTCAACTTCAGAGTACTTATGTGTGCAATCAGAATCTGTTTTAACAAAATAATTTTGCAAATGACCAATAACGAGGTAAGTAAATTTACGAGTTCCATTTTTATTGAAGAAGCAGCTGTCAATGATATCAAAAAGCCTGGATTTTAATTTGTCATGGGGAATTGTTGTGTATAAAGTTGAAAAGTCGTAAGTTTTTAAGCTGTTGATTTTTGTAAAGTCTTGTGATTTCAAATTGTCCAAAAGTTCTTTAGAATTTTTAAGTATCCACATCTGATTTACACCACTTCTTGAATATATAGTTGCAAAGTACTCTTGAAGTTTTTCCTTCACTACTGTCAAAATCTTAGTGAGAAGTAACGAAAGAGGCTTGGTTGAATATTTATTGGAACCTACAATGTATCTTTGTTTGTAAGGATTTGTTTGTAAGGATCTTTGTTTGTAAGTTTCGGAATCCAATATATATATAAGGTAGTTCAAATTCATTTTGGCTCTGTGGAATATTAAAAGTATTCAAAACTGACAGGTGATTTTGAAGAATTTCTTCCTGAGAAAGAGAAGTATGGGTATAAGTAGGATTACCACTTGTAGAATTAAATCCAAGTTCTTCTAGAATGCAATTTATATAATGAGCCTTACAAACGAAGACAATGTTCGTCTTCAAATAATTTAATGAGTATAGTAAGAAAACAAAGCATGGAGAAAGACAATTATTTATTTAGAGCCATTCTCTGTAACCATTTAAACTTCGTTGCCAAGCATGGTCACCGATTTTGAAGAAACTTCGCCCATTCTTAGTAAGTGACACCAAAAACATATATCAAATAAAATTTTGTTGCTAAATTTCTCGGTTGCCATGGTAACAGCCTGAAAAATTGAAACTTTCAGCTACTTTAAATCTTTACTGAACCTTGATAAAGACTAGGAAAAGCAAACAAGCCATGTCACAAAAACATGTCACCTTGTTGTCACTTATACTGTAAAGAAACTGTTTAGAATATATCTCTAAGTGGTAACCGAGGTACATTTGGAAAACAATTTTTTTAAAATGCTGAAATATATGTTGAAAAACGTTCAGTATTCACTAATGCTATGTGGTATATGCTCAAACTCAATCAACAATTTAAGAAAAACAATGAAAATGATTGACCCTAAGTATATAGGTATACGCAATATTATTCTATAAATAACTTTTATGGTTGCCATGGTAACACACTGTAACCAAGCAAAATCAGTAACTAAGATTGAGTTAATGCTACTGTCTTCAGCAGAATGAAAACTCAAGACTGGAAAATATGCATCCTTAGAACCTTGCAACACCAATTCCAATTTAATTCTAATGATGAGTATGGCAAAAAATAGAATTAAAAAAATATTCCAAGTATAGTCTTTAATTTCTTAAAGCATGCAACATGTTTAAAAAGTAAAATATATTTCTAAGGTTCTTCCCTGATTTATACTTAAAACAGGAAGTTTATATTCAAGGCATATATATCAAGTTATGTGTAATAAAATAAAATATATGAGATACATACTCGAATTAATTTCAAATGGTAACTTTATCTTTATTTTACTAACACACATGAAGCATATTAATAGGGAAAAGGCATCTTTTGTATTTGCATTACTTTAAGTTTGGGGCACAGATTGACCCTGTTATGGCAAAATCATCTTCAAATAATTTAATGAGTATTGTAAGAAAACAAAGCATGGAGAAAGACAATTATTTATTTAGAGCCATTCTCTGTAACCATTTAATCTTCGTTGCCAAGCATGGTCACCGATTTTGAAGAAACTTCACCCATTCTTAGTAAGTGACACCAAAAACATATATCAAATAAAATTTTGTTGCTAAGTTTCTCGGTTGTCATGGTAGCAGCCTGAAAAATTGAGATTTTCTGCTACTTTAAATCTTTACTGAGCCTTAATAAAGACTAGGAAAAGCAAACAAGCCATGTCACAAAAACATGTCACCTTGTTGCCACTTATACTGTAAGGAAACTGTTTAGAATATATTTCTAAGTAAGTGGTAACCGAGGTACATTTGGAAGACATTTTTTTAAATGCTGAAATATGTTGAAAAACGTTAAGTATTCACTAATGCTATGTGGTATATGCTCAAACTCAATCAACAATTTAAGAAAAACAATGAAAATGATTGACCCTGAGTATAGGTATATGCAATATTATTCTTTAAATAACTTTTATGGTTGCCATGGTAACACACTGTAACCAAGCAAAATCAGTAACTAAGATTGAGTTAATGCTACTGTCTTCAGCAGAATGAAAACTCAAGACTGGCAAATATGCATCCTTAGAACCTTGCAACACCAATTCCAAAGAAAAATTGGGATTAATAGCTACTTTGCTGTTTTACCAAGGAAACACCGTATCAGTTGTTAAAAGTGATTTTTGTTGCTGCATTAAGAATTTACTTGCCATTAAATCAAGAAGTCAATAAAAATATAATGTAAACGCATACTTACAATAAACACGCATCACATAACGAGAACTAGACGGGTAGTCGTAAAAGAAAACAGTTGAGTGTGATTTTGCTCTGCAATAGCAAGATTTCCCGTCATGATTCCTAATCGCTGTAAAATTCATGTAAGTATATGTGCCTGAAAATGTTACATTGGTCATCTGTTCTTCCCCACAATACCATGTCCACGTGATTGGAGGTTCTCCCAAGAGGTTAACATAACACTGGAATTTCATTAAATCGCCCTCATAGACATGTCTGACAAAATTGTCAGTGTAGGAATTTATTACCATGCCCAAATTTGGACTTAGAGTCGGAGGTGATGATGGGATAACTGCAATGTAACAAATACTTATACTGCTTTGTGTGCAGTTTATCTTTCTTTGATTTAAAAAAAAATGCAAGGTAGTTAACCAGATTCAAGCATCGAAGTTAATTCAATTGCTGTCTTAAAAGCGTCATCTTTTTTTGAAATACTGATTTCTGTACAAAATATTTTTAATGTAATGTGACTTCATCTTGGGTGTAGTGGTTATTTCGACGTGTGCAAGAACAAAGAAACTCCCATGTATGGATGTCCGCGCTCAGAGTTAAAGATAGCCTCTTCTTGAACATACTCGGTATAATAAGTCATCAAAAATATGTATATTTCCAACAGAAAATATACAATACATAAGAAGAAAAAAATAGCGGGCAATTTACTTTTAAATTAGCTATAACTATAGCACATGCATGTATCATGGAAGCTAAATCATAAAGCTAATTTTGAACCTGTCACAAGAAAAGGAATTAATATATGATGTTGATACTTATTTTGCACATATAAAATGGAAATTCTTTAGAATTTTTAAATGTTTTAAACTGTGCCAATTGCTTAATCAAATTACCATTTAAATTCACTATGTATACATATTCAATAGACAAAATGTCTTTTAAATCATTCAAGAAGTGATAGAAAATTACCATGATCACCAATACTTCAAGAACGATACAAACAATTCACACATTTAGAAGAATATACATATAAATTAATTTTTGAATTATGTGAAACTAGTACTCTTTCAATTCATGTTTTAAATGAATTGAAATCATGGATTTGTCTACGTGTTTATCTTGTTTTGCAAGCATGTAAAATTACAAAGTCATAGAACTCCCGCTGGACATGTTCAATACCGAACAAAAAGATAACACCCTCATAAAGAAATTATCATCAATGATATATATTGAAATGAGTCTGATTAACAGTTAACTTACTGTCAGGCATTACTGTAGAGGGGATCCAAAAGATCCATATTAACGCTAGGTAAATCATCTTGTCACAATAATACTGATATTATTGAAATGTTATTTTAACTCATTTAGATACACCTATGCTATTAATGGAGGAAGAATAAACTTTAATATGATTTGTTGAAACAACGTACAAAAATCGAGAAGCCCGCCGCTCCACGTCAATCTAAAATGTAAACATAGGTAGTGACTTCCCCGAGCTACTATCGTTGCAAACTACGGCCAAAATGTACGATAATCTCCCATTCAGGCAATAATTGTATGATATTTTTTCGTTGTTCATTAAAATATTGAATAATGCGAGTAAAACATAGTCGTAAAATGAATATTAACGCGATCTTTCTACCCAGTCGCAGTTTACGCAACCCTATTTGTTTATTGTGAAGGGCATAAGCAAGGTCCCTGGCTATCATAAAGAATTTATATGAACCCTTGGGTAGATTAATTGAAATCAATCAGGTAATATTCTGGTAAGTTTAACCTATCAAGCCAATGTTTTTTAAAGATGACATCAATGGAGTTTACGAACAGTGTTTAAGTTCAAAAGTCCATTCAAATAGTGCAAATCAGCAGAAGAACAAACATGGACCTCTTAAATATCCTAAATTTTTTCTGAAATAAGTTTACTTGTTTCAGAGCAGGAAACTGAGAATCTTCAAAGTTGAAGCTTTATGAACGACAAAAATAAAAACAAGCAACAATAAGTTCCCTGATGATTCAGGTAGCCTTACAATTAAATATATATATTGTGGGAGAACTTCATCCATAGTATTATTGGTGAATTTTGGGTCTGTATCAGGCACATATTGTAAACGAGAACACACAGAAAACACTCAAGTGGACAATTTATACTATTGAACAAAAAATAAGACGTCTATATACAACATCTGAGACACTTTTTTACTCTAGATATTTCCTATATCTTGCACGCAGATGCATTAGGTTTCAATTTAATAGTTATATTGATTAAACCGAGTTTAAAAAAGCCCTTCATATACTTGCACGGATAGCTTCCTTATGTTACAAGGTTATTTTCAAGAATCTAGCATGTCTCCATTGCATCTCATTGTGAGCTTGTTCATATTGTCCTTTGTGGATGCCCGGGTTCCTCGGACTCATTTGTTGATTAAAGGTAAATCATAATGTCTGACGTATAAACTGAAATTATTTCATCAATTAAGGGTTTTGAATGCTAAAACTGATAAAATAAATGTAAATCGAAGTTGTAAATTACATACATGGTACAATAATTCAAAAGATATTTAAATAAAAAATTAGTTGATGAAACTGGCACATGAAGGAGAAAAACAGTTGTTTTTTGATACGGCTAAAGAATCTGAAGTTTTTCATGATATTCTGCGAAAAGTTTGCCTATTACCACTTAACAAGTGCATATTCATACTTCCTTAGCATTTGAAAATTTTGTTTTTATATTCAGGATGTTCTTGTAAATGTTCTCTGATAAAACAAAAGTTAAATTTTCTTAATTAGGTCATGTAAAAGAATCTTTAAGAAAACTTCCTTGGAAATGGATCCATGAGAAAACATCATATAAAGTAAAAACTCCGCTTACAATCGGGGTGGATGTTGTGTCCAGTTACAAATTAAGGGCAGACTCAGTTGGAATTGAAGGAATCTTCAACACAAGTAAGTCAAATCATATATTATATAGACGATATTGAATTGGTTGATTGGCACAAAATTGAGAGATATTCGCAAAACGATACAAAATTGAATAAATATTATCTACGTTTAGGAGGAAAGAAGAGTGTTCGGTATGACACTGATAGTTTTGATTAAAATATATAAATAAATTGTATATATAGGTCACTTTAAAAGTCGAGATTGTGCAGCTATATTGAAGAAAAACCCAGTAGTACAAGGAAAGGACGGAGTATATACTATTTACCCAGACGGCAGGAGAGAGAAGCGAGTGTTCTGCGATATGACTACAGAAGAGGGTGGATGGACGGTACTTTCATTGATTTTTAATGATTTTAATTTAACTATTTAAAAATATTTGAGTTTTTTTCTTTAAACAATGCAGTAATCTTTGAATGATCATGCTGTGAGTTGTATTGTTCGTTTTATATCCTCTGCCTATTTAAAAGTAATTAAAAAAGTAGTTTTATAAGTCTATTCATTTATCTATCAAAGTTATCTATCATCCTTAAAATCATTATCAATATCGAAGACTTATAGAGTAATTAGTATAAAACATATTCCATAAAAAATTCAGGTCATTCAACGAAGAAGATACGGCATCACTGATTTTTATCGATCGTGGGCGGAATACAAGAGAGGATTCGGAAGAGCAGAGACAGATTACTGGTTAGGTAAGTTTAAAGAATATTTGAATATTTTCTTCCTTTATTATACTAGGCATCTGTAGATATAATATTTTGTCAATCTTTTTTGTGGCAGTAACAATGAAGAATTTGTATAATTCCAAAAGTAATAAAACAAACAAACAGATGTTATAATACCAGCATCTGATGAAATTCCATTGCTGTGAACAAACTGTTTTCTTTCAGATAAATAGGATTAAACCCAATCAACAGATTGAACATCAATTGCTTTTAGTTTTTTACAAAGTACATCATCATGTATATCATGGTAACAGTGTCAAATGCCTTTTGTAGATCAAGCATAACCATTCCAGTATATAATGATATCCCTTTGTAATAGTATTTCTAATAAAATCAAATAAATGTATCAAACAAATTTCAGTAGAGTACTTACTTCTAAAAAAAGATTGAAACTCATATGAAATATTATTACGATCTAAGGATTTTGAAACTTGAATATGAACAGATCTCTCTAAAATTGTAGAAACAACATTAAGAATACTAACTGGTCTATAATTACCTACTTCTGGTAAACTGTTTTTTTTTGTCCCACGCTTTCACGAAAGCAAGGGGACGTTAAATTTCATTGTGAATAGGTTTTACCCTAGCTGTTTTCATATCTTCAGGAACAGGAAGAAGAAATGACTTTACAATAAATGTGATAGGAATCTTTAGAAAATCAGCTCCATCACGAATGAACCTAGATGGAATATCTTCTGGCCCCATACTTTTAGAAGGGTTCAGTTTTAAAAGCTCTTTGTATACAAAAATTTCATTGACTGTTTTCAGAGTAACAAGATTATCATTTTTGAAATAAAAAGATTTAAAACGTTCACTATCCACACTAAAAATATTTAAAGGTTTGGGGAGTTTGCTTACACGTGAATCTGCAATATTTACAAAAAAATCATTAAAATGATTTAAAATTATGCTCACTCCTCCATGCCATTGATCCCATCTCTGATGTTTCGGAGGTCCATGTTTGCTCTGCTCTTATTTTGTATTGTTTTATGGACTTTGATATTGAATACTGTTCGTTATCTCCATATCCTTCTTGCATCAGATTTTGGTTCGTGACAAATTTCATCATCAATTTTTAAGCAGACATTCCTACTGTCCTTGCGTTTGTTTTTAAAACCAAGGTCTCTTAGGCTCTGCCATAAATTTTTCGGGTTATTTTTGTTTTCTTCGATTTTACTAGATACCGGTATGTATTCTGTCCTTGAAACTTTAACGCAAATTATCTGTAACAATTAAATGACTTATACGTTAAGAGAGAGAAATCCTCAATTTACACCGTTTTAATGAATTAAGTATAAATGTTTTAGGTAACTTATTATCAATAATTAATGAAAATATTGGTAATATAAACTAGAAATCAACATTTGTATGATAGAACAGACTCGATTGAGTTGACAAACAAAATGGTCCTCTTAAATCTTACATGACAATTCATTGAATTTGATAAAAAAATATTGAATTTGATGGAAAAATGTCTTCAGAAAATTATCTGTCTTAGCAGAGGGAAATTACACCTTAATATGATTTGTATATTAATCATTATTTTTTTTTTATTTTTACACATGGTAAAGAAGTTAAATAAAGTTACAAAATGATATGAAAACATAAAGTTTTGCCAGTTTACTTGGAGAGATAAAAAAACACTTTTTACTGATTTTTGCTCATGTTTGTTCTTTGATTCAATACTTTCGAAATCCATCAAGTTGTAATTTGTTTGGAAAATTAATATATATTTACCTCATATACACCTGCATATGAAAGCTTTAATCCATATTTGATAATTTGAATTACATTAGGAAATTCTTTTTAGGTCACCTTATATTACTCCGGTGACCTATTACTATCTGTTTTCGCCCGTTGCGTGTGTCGTTCGTCGTGTTTTAACATCTAAACTTTTTCAGCTTCTTCTCTAACTCCACACAACCAATTTCAACCACTTTTCAACCAATCATTGTCCCAGCCTCCATAGCGATCGAGGAGTGGCACTAAAATAAATGGAACCTTTAAAAGTCTTTTTTACTCCAGGACATCAAGCAGCCAAACTGTTTGCTTGATTGTAATCAGCATTATGCCCTCTACCAATATTATGAAATTCCTAACCCCAGGATCAGGGGCTCTGCTTTTATGGTGGGGCTTTTATGATTATAAAGTGAAAATGCATTAATTATTTGATAATCTTCTCCTCTGATCCGTCGCCTGCGTGGCGCAGTGATTAGAGCGTCTGCTCTTGAGCCGCGAAGTAAGGAGTTGATCCTTACGTCGCGGGTTCGAATCCAACTGTGGGACGTGGAGACCGGTCCTTCGGATGAGACCGTATAATCCAAGGTCCCGTGTCGCAGTAGGTGCTGACACGAAAAAAGTCCCTACCTTCTCAACGGTCCTGAGTGCTGAGTATAGGACAAAATTTGCAGCTCTCCATCGGCAAGTGGTGGCGTCTCCATATGATTAAAAATTCTCCAAAGGGACGTTAAACAATATACAATCATTCAATCTCCTCTGATCCTGGGTATTATGAAAACAAACTAGATGCATATCTATGATGAGGAAGGCTACCTTTACCAAAACTGTGAATTTTATTACCGCTGAGTCAAGGGTTCTGGTGTTAGTAAATGGCTCTACTGAGTATATATTCGTTTTATATATATATATACATTCGTTTTTTTCAAAATTGTGAATTGTGTAGCCCCAGGGTCAGAGGTTCCTGTGGGGTGGGGAACTACTGATGTTATAGTGAAAATGCATATTTTCTTTGTTCCTCTGCTCTGAGTATTAAGTAATACAAGTAAGCATGCTGGTGTATACTTTTAATGGGCAATTGTGCCTCTTTCAAACTGTGGTTTTTATAGCCTCTGATCTAAAACACGAACAAAAATTCTGAAGTTGGAAGTTGTTACAATACTCAAGTGACCTATAAGGAGATATAATATTTCAAATCGCTGTCTATTCGCCAAAAATATAGTTCCTGCTTGATGTCAAACTTAGTTTAATATTTCTGTTTCGAATTGTATCATTACAAAAAGGAAAGAAAACATTACCTTAAATCCCTTTCATTTGCATTTAAATCCCTTTCATATTAATATGCAAGAGTAAGACATCTAGTCAGGAACCAGGCAGGAATACCTCCAAAGTCGAATTACTAAAGTTTTGTCTTTATTCATACTTTTTTCTTCTTTTTTTTTTTTTTAAAATAATTTTGATTTGTGTGAATATTAATCAATAAAAAGAATGAAAAATAATGTAACTTCTTTATAACCATTTAGGAAATGATGCAATACATATTTTGACGTCACGCACAACACAGGAATTGTGGGTTGACCTGGAACAGTTTTCAGGCGCCAAGGCATATGCTAGATATTCAAAATTTGCGATTGCTGATGAACAGGAAAAGTACAAGTTAACAGTCAATGGATACAGGGGCAATGCAGGTGAAACAATTCACCAAAATTAGTTCAAATATGATTTGATTTAGAAGGATTAGTTGTCAAAGTATTGACTTTCCTATTTTAATATTACGTCTGACGTGCTTCTTAATAGCCATTGATTCATCTTACAACAATTGACAAAAATGACGAATTTAAATTTAAGGGGATGGTCTAAAAGGACACAATGGTATTGCATTTGCAACAAAGGACAAAGACAGAGGTGGTTGTGCAACAGGTCATAAAGGAGGTTGGTGGTATACAAGTTGTTATACTTCACATCTCAACGGACCTTTCCTGAAATCTGCTGCTAAAACCTTTGATGCCATAGTGTGGAGACCTTGGAAGGAAAAAACTGCCCTTAAATCAGCTAGGATGATGATTCGTCCTCGAAAATGATAGGAAATTCGTCCTAGAAAATGATCGTAAATTCTGTGAAGACTAATGTGTTACAGAAATAAAATAAAATTGAAATTAACAGTTCTTGTTTGTCAATGAAAAAGATAAGTACATGCACTTCATTCCATAATCCAATCCAATATTTCAAATATTGTGCACTCCTTTTGGAAACAATTGCAACGTTTATTGGGGATAAATAACATATTAAACAAGTTAGAAAACAATATTTCTCATAGATAAATATTCATATAAGTATTCTGAATGATATTTTCTGAGTAAAGTGGGAGAAAGTTATAAACTTTCGTCACACTGTCAAATATACATGTATCCGCATATTTTGTTTAAAATTACATAGGAATCTAGAGGTTCTGTGAGCAATGAGCTCACTAAATGATACCACGCCTCCCATTTGGTTATAATTGCAAATTCCATGTTAAGCTCTTGGAGATAGCACGTAAGTAATAAATCAAAAAGTAAAATAGTCATCGAAGACATGGTGCCTGAAGATTTCTTGAATATCGATTGATAATCGGGGTCACGCGTTTTTCATCATCTGAATACATAGTCAGCGCATGTCTGTGGGCTGTTCTTAAGGAGACTAGCTGTTAATTATAATAACGCCCTTCGGGCGTTATCGAATTTGATTACGTGACCAACTACATGTCATATCCCAATGAAACCCTAAAATGATATCTTATTTCTTAATTGAACAAAATAATGTCATACTAAAAGGTAACATATGGAGATAACGTATAGTATTCATATCAAAAATCCATATGAGTACAAAGTAGGAGTAGAGCAAACACGGACCTCCAAAATATCAGAGTTGTGATCAGGTGCCATGGAGGAGTTAGCATCCCCTGCTGATCGGTCACACCCGCCGTGTGCTCCTTTTCAAGATCGGGAAATAACGGAAAAATTCGTAGTCAATTCGTCAATAAATAATGGAGTAACAATTAGTAGGAAAAATGTCAGTCAGCATTTGTATCGACAACAGAACTTACGAAATGATGACTGTAAACGAGACTGCTGATATTCTTGTTTCATCAACCTGTTTGTCAGTAATTTACCTCGTTGTTAGAAATTGTTCATACGTATCGAAAGCATGCTCTTGTGGATCGAATCAACTAAGATATATAAACTCTGTTTGCAGGCGATGAAGGTATATTGCTGCAAAAGTAAGGGAAGTTAATGATTGAAAGTTAAAATCATCACGTTTATCATAAAGCTTGGTTGTAAGATTACCATTGACGTCTTTTTCAAGTGAGGTATCCAAATAAGAAACAGATGACTCTGTGGTACTAGTATCTTTTATCTCAAGCTCACCAGAATATATCTTAATTGACAATAAGTCGTCGATATATATCTAAATGTCAAGTTGAAGGCCACAGCAAGTGTTTTCTTCTTTACATGCATAAGATTTTGGACAAATTCTGCAATATATTTTGCATTTACTTCATTTACAGCTTGGTAGAGTAGTCGTAAAAAGATGTTGTTTTGCGTTTTTTTTTTAACTTATGTGCCAGAATATTTAAAATTATGTTTTCTTTGGGAAACTTATGTGATTCATTGCAACTGGCTTAATATACACAGTATTGCAGATTTTGATATACTTCAATTCAAGTACTAATTGAAATGAAAACTTGTTTAAGAAGTTTTATGAAATTCATTACATAGTTTATTTAAACATATATTTTTTGTTATATTTCATTTGTAGATACATTTTACATGTATATATGTATTAGCTGCAAACTTTATAAAAAACAATATCATCATCAATATTATTAACATAATCTTTATCAGCATACTATTGTGAAAAAACTTAACACATAGTAAAACGATTAATGGTTTTCATGTTAGTAATCTGTATAGTACACAAAAAATGATTTTCAAAATTATCCACAGAGTAAAAATGTACTAATATTGGACCAATTAACTTTAAAAAAAAAAAGAAATGTCAAGAAAAATATATCACAACTGAAGTACCACAATCTTCTGAAATCCAAGGGTCTGAAGAAAAATTAACATTCAATGGAGAGCCATAAAACCAATGGAAATAAATTTCAGTTAGGAGACAGTTCTTTCCTGAAATTTGTCTAAAGCCTGAAAAAAGAATATAACATTTCTTTCAATGATTTTAAAAAATTTAATAAGAATTTACAATGAGACATGTGCTCGTTGGCAAGTGACTATTGATAATTATTAAATGAAAATTGTTATGTTAAGGTCAGACGACACATTCCTCAAATATATCTTTTTTATTTCTTGGTATTATATTACAAATACGCGTATTTTCCATTCTCTTGTGATTTCTACATTGTTTTCAATGTTTTGAAATATAAATACATCAAATATTGTGATATTATTCTATGCAGATGGTTACCCATATGGGATATATAAGAAATATCACCCTGTGGTATCTTGTCCAAATGCCTGGTAAGGTACCCTAATTTTCTGTTAAGAAACTTGTATAAGTACCTAAACATCATTGATAAATTTTTGGGGAAAATTATATATTTTTTGAGGAACGCGTTGTCTGACCTTAAAGAAATATTTTCAGGAAAACAACTTCTTTTGGATCCTGACTTTATAATAACTGATTCTTGTGCTTTTACTTCATAATAGTCAACTAGAAATTAAGATATCATAATTTAATCCGTCTCTAAAATGCTTTAGAAATATATATCTGTAAATTATAATTCGTGTAATTCCATAACCAATGTCCTGTAGAACATTGTCTCCCTACAATTTTTTTTTATTAAAATAGAAAATTGTGGGAAGACAATACCTCTCTCTGTTAATTTGCAGGACTTCGTAGGATTGATCGTTGATATATGTAGGATTTTGTTCACTGCTGTTTTCACTAAAATGGAAGGAAATGTATTTTAAAAAATCAATTTTCTAAAATAATAAATACAGTATTAGTCTTTTAAAAAAAATTAATACAAGAAGAGACGAAGATTGAAGCATACAAACCTTGGTTTTCCTTCGGTTGTCTTTCCTGAAAACCATCGTTAAATAAATTTTAATGCCTCAATTTTTTTCATATATGCATACATGTATAATGAGGAAAAGGTGGTTTGTTCATTACATTTTAACTAACTTATATTCTACAGCTTATTTGCCCTTTCCCAAATAAGAAAAGTAATAGAACATCCTTTAGTTAACTATTATAGTTTACTGTAGAAAGATTTTAACACAGTAAATCAAAGTTTTAATAAAGTAAATCAAAGTTTGTTTTACTTTTAATTTTAGATAGTTTTATTGTTTACATTGATACAAACCCTTTTCTTGTATTGAAAGGAAATGTCACTTGTATATTTATTTTCAATGTAAAAAAAAAAATTCAATGATAATATCTTAAAGTATATATTATATACTTTAAGAAAAAATAGAGCGCAAAATCTTAAAGAGCTTCTGATTTAAGTTTAACGTATTTTTTTAGTTTAGTACACTGTATAATAAATTTTTGTTAAAGATAAATGACGTAATCGAATTATATATATATATATATATATATATATATATATATATATAAAAATTTAATAAAAATACGAATCAAACTATTTCTTGAGACAACATTTAGATAAATATGCATGCTGTTCTAAATTTTGACGGCTTTCTCTTTAAAACTCACCGAGATTTTCACAAGAACAGAGATCTCCTTTTTTTCACCCTGATGTACTGTAATACTAAGATGGTGACTAACGCTAATATAATAACCACCAATATCCCGGTAGTTGTTCCAAATGCTGCAGCTGATATGCATTCATGTTCTTTCTCTACTGTAGCTAAACGAATTTAATATTTTGTATTATAAGATTTGGGTCTTTTTAAAAAAATGCTTCAGAAATGGACAATACATGACCAATTTCAGTCTAATACAATATCCTTGTAAAATCGCTATTTTATCAATGCCGCCCTTGTACAATATCTATTAGAACCAGAAATTCTGAGGAAGATTTTTCATTTCTCTTGTCTAATACAATCCTTATTTTATATAGAAAAATAATTCAATTAAAATAGTGCTGATTAAAAAAAAAATCATTTTATGCTATAATTATGTTAAGAGGTTATGGTATGTGAAGGGTCACGAACGTGAACTAAGACATATGTTTAGCCGGTGTCAATAAGCCTAGAAACTTTGTTATAGGGATAGTACTTAGATTAGATAAATACTAGCCTTGTGTTTTTTAGTAAATTCAAAAACCATATTGTAAAAATATTTTACAAGCTCTATAAATCTTACATATAACGGTGATCCTCACAGGGTCGGACATCTCGTCATACGTATAGTAAGAAGAAGAGGAAGATATTCCTCTACATCTGCAAACCATTCCGTCATGACCTGGAGACATTTTGAATGCTAAGTAAGCCTCTGTTCCTACGTCCACCCCATTCTGTGGAGGCTCTTCACCACAGAACCATCTCCAGGATATTTGTGGATATCCCAGTGTTGTAAGATTACACTTAATGTTAATGTTCTCACCGCTCTGTACAGTTGTAGGTGACAATGGATGAATCTGGGGACGTGTCCAAGAAGAATCTTACAAAAGTCAACATTGAATCACCAAGTGTAAGTGTTTTGCTAGGCTGTTATAACAAAAGACTTAAAGTTTAGAATTTTTAACGTTTAAATACACATACATATACAACAATTTTCGAAGAAAAGAAATTTCATGAAAAAAAAATTGCGAAAAAAGATATTTCAAAATGATAACGATTTAAACAAATTCTATCCTTACGATAAACACGCATCTGGTATCGATACCGAGAGGTTTCGTCGTAGAATAAAACAGTAGAAGGTGATTTTGCTCTGCAGTAGCAAAGTTTTCTGTCGTGATTCCATAGTGCAGTGAAATTCATGTAATTGTAAGTGCCTGAAAATGTAACATTTTTCATCACCTCTTCCCCACAATACCACGACCATGTAATTGGTGGATCTCCAAGTGAAGACACATAACATTCGAATTTCATGAAATCGCCCTAATAAATATGTCTTGTGTATCTATTACTATAAGAATCAACTTGCATGCCGTAGTAGGGGTATATATTGGGGATTGATGATGGGATAGCTGCAAAATAACAAACATTCTAATAAATAAAACCATTTTTAAAGAAAATATATTACTTAAGCAAGTCATAAATAATTGTATTCGATACACAGCATTTAACATTTTTTTGCATATTAATTCTAGAACTATCATCTATTTTTTTAACGGAGGAGCTTTTAGTATGTTGTACACTTTTGAAGTTTTTAATACAGATAGAATAATCTGCAATTTGATTTAGAGTTAATATAATTTAAATGTTTTTTTTTTCAAAAAATGGTTTGTAGCCAAATTAAACATTCGTTTACTTCATTATCATTTAAAAATTTTCTTGGTGTTAAAGGTATGCTGCCCTATGTTGAAGCTCAAAAATGACACTTTGCACCTCTTTATAGACAGATCTATTTTTATATTCACATGAAACAGAATGTATTTAAAACCTTCAATCAGGAAAAAAAAACCTTAAATCAGAAAAAAAAACATTTCTGGTGGCCTTCAAATCGACATTTGAATAATTTGAGGACGTATTATAAATTAGCAATGATTTCCATCATTCATATGTCGACATGATGCATCCAGGTGAAGTTAAAAAAGCTGCCACAAAAATTGATATTTGTTTCATATTTGGATATTTTACAATTACAATTAGGAAAAACACTTTAATGGCGAACTGATAACAAAACTTGTTAAATTTAGTTTTCTATTGTCAACTCTCCTTACTTAAGTAGCAAATATAACCTAACCACCTTCACATGGGATATATGTCTCCTGTTAACTAGATACACAAGAACATGATCTACATGCAAAGAATTTCTATAGCGAGGCAAGCTTTTTAACAAATAAGTTGATGAAACAAGAATAACAACAGTCTCTTTTAAAGTCATTATTTTGTAAATTCTGTAGTCGATACAATGACCTTTTCAGTAAGTACAGTCTATCATTATGTCATGCTGACTGACGTTTTTCATGTTAGACCATTATTTACATATTTGCACTCCATGGCTTCTGATCCTGCTTCTGATGTTTTTAAAGCTCTGTGTTTATGTTGCTTCTGATTTGTATTGTTTAAATGAATTTTTAGCATACCGGTAATTGCTGTTCATCATCTTTATATTTCATGCATTCATTATACTCTAAAATTAATAATTCATATAATAAATCCAATCCAAAATTATAAAAAAAAATAATGGAGCCTACATTCTGTTTCAAAAGGAATGTTGGAAAGACGGTTTTTATCTATAAAAGATTTCAGCACGTGATTGGCTTTATGGATAAAAAATAAATGAAAAGTTTCATCTACAGAGTACAACATTCATATTCTAAATGATGATTTAGCCATTGAATAATGTAAAAATAAGATTAGGGAACATTCTTCTAAAATAAAATTCTTTTACACACCGAACTGTCCTGCATAAAAAAATAAATTCTAAAACATTGCAAAATCGATCATACTCCAAAAGATATGTTTATACTTATAAAATAGAAGAAGAATTCTGGACACCAGATTCTCGTAGAAAAAAAGTAGTTTTTCGACCCCTTATGGCCTTTATGGTTTATTTTTATAATTTCAATGCTTTAAGGCATACTGCAGAATACGCCTATTTTTAATTTTATTCCAAAGATGATAATGCTACAGTGTAAAATGTACGAGGGGATCTGGAAATAAGCTTCTGCTACCTAACTCCTTTAATTCTACTTCAAAAGATGGATAACGATTACAACAATGTATATGAAAATTTTTAAAAAGAAAGGTTTGGCCTGAGGGAAATGGAAATTTTGATTTTTTTTTTTATTTTCTGTGCAATCAAACTTAAAATTAGTTGTAATAGGTTAATAGAAAAGGACATCTACATCTCTTATAGATACAAGTTATTTCAAAACAGAAATGCATTTTACATTTTTGCTTTTAATTATTATTTCTTAACAAGTATTAGAGACAGAAAAGGATAAATGTATGCGTTATTAATCAGTTATCTTTTTTGTAGGGTCATTTTTAATACAGCATATCGCAATTTAAAACTCTGATTTAAGCTTTTAACAAGCATATTGATGGTATTCAAACTTTTCAAAGAATATAATAGGAATTGTTCTTTTTGAAATGCTTATCGTAAACTTGTTTAACTCCTGTTCGACAATATGTGTACCGTAAAACTTATTTATTTTTCTTTTATATTTTGCTGTCAACATGGTATGTAGTATGAAACGTATGACATACATATCAGAATGTATTGTCTCCTGCCAAAGTCTATACATGGTTAAATGGAACGATAATTTATGTTGCTCAATACTAGGAGTTAGCTAAACAAAAGATTATAGAATATACCCTTCAATTAACCGACAATTCAAATACTTAATTAGGTGTTGTAAAACCCATTCTTGATGTTTTAAAAACAAAATTATATTAAAACTTACTATCTGAAGATACAACAGAAAATAAACACAAGACCCAATAAATTTTGAAATCAGTCATGCCTGTTAAAGTATAAAAATTGTCTTGTAAACTGCGTCGTTTGATTTCTGCAAAGAAGAAAGTTTATTATGGTGAAGTCGTAAATAGTGCAAAACTTGGTAAGCCAGGCATCGGTGACGTAACGTAATGGAATGCTCCTTTTTATATTTTAAAAAAACCATGTTTGAGTTTTGTCTACTAGTATGGAGTATAAAAGAAAATGTCTTGGATTACCTTGCCATTCTGTTGAATGAAAAATACTTTAGAAATATTTTAATATTACCTACTAGTCACTAAGTACTTTTGCATAAATCTCTGGCTCATCACTTTTCCAGTTGCTGTACCTATTTGCCATACAATCTTGCAAAGGTGTATGGTTCTTTGAATGTCGTTGTAACTTATAGAAAATATTTTAATTCTTAAATTTTATTTCATCATTTTTAAACTATGATAAACAAGTTGATGTAAAGATAAAAAAAATCATCATTTTGTAATGACCATGTTTGCTCAGCTTCAGATTTAATTATTTATACATGTATGTCTTTTAAGCTTCAAAATTTTTTGTTATCTCCTTATTTCTATTGTTAATTGGGCAGCGCATCAAAACTACAATTACCTAGAACAAAATCAAGCTTCAGAGGGAACAAGTCCAATGGGTCATTGAATTTTCCAACAACAGCGGCGAGTCTCTGAAACGGTAAATTTCAACTAACTAATATAAATAAAATTACATAAATGTAAACCAGTTAAAACCCCCAAGCGCATCGTAATTAGCCATATTCCTTTGAAATTTAAACAAAGAATATGTGAAGGGAAATTCATTGATGTAGCTCCTAGCTCTTCTCAAATCTGCATGAGAATGAGCTGGTGAGAAGGATTCAAAAGGAGAGTTATGTATAAAGATCGGAATATGAGTTTGACTTAACTAAACACAAACTGTATAACATTTTCGTGTGTTTTGCTTGAAATTTTTATAGGAAACATGAGCTTTATGAGCTTTGATGTATTAAGATAAACAGGCTGGTTGATGAACGATTCGTTTAAGAAAGGCTTGAGACTGTTATTTCTAATGGGGACAGATCAGCAGTGAACTTGGTTAAATTTGCTCTGCTCCAATATTTGTATTGTGAATGAACTCTTGAGCATAATTGTATTTATGTGCAACATAAAGTAATTTATACCATCTCTGTTAGTCTATTGTTATGAGAGAATTTTTCCGGAATTTTCAATGCCGCGATGAATTCTTGATACTATATTATATTTGTAACTTGATCTTGTTTATCCAGACCACGCTTTCTGATGGAAATAATTTTTGATTTCTTGACTCGTGTGAGTATCTTAATTGATTTACATCTTTTTCATCGTTGATTGGGCTTTTAAAGTTGTCCGCTACCCAATATTTTTTAAACTCTGTTTACAAAACACTGCACGTACATTAGCTGATTATATCAAAACATTGATCAGTCTAGACGAACTCCAAAAACGGCGTTAACGGAAGTGAGAATTTCAGTCTAGAAAAGACTCCGAAAAACGAGTCCCGCGCATGCGCAGTTATATCAAAGCACAGTGAAAAGTCGTGAAAAGTGGGCTCTTACAAAAAGTGCTTTTGCAAAAAATTGGATTACCTTACAATAATGTAAGTACTCAGAAATGATTAATAATAAGTTTTTCTAGAGAACGTATTTGTTAGAATTTTGATTTCATGTGCAAATAGTTTTTAATTTCAAGTCAAAGTTGACCAACTTCGAGGTTCAGCCAGACCTCGGACAAGTAGTATTCAGAATACAAACAGTCTTAATCTTATTAAAACATCTCTGTGATTGATAATTTGTTGATAATTTGTTTGAAGTGACTAAGTTAGTCAATTTAGAACTATTTTTACTGATTTTAGAAGTGTTTTTTTAAGTAAGGACCGCTGGCGAATTTACGGTTGTTGGAATTTCCTCTATCTTTTATGTCTATCGTGTACGAATGAATTTTAGATATATTAGACCAACCAAATTGTAAAAACATATTACCAATAATGAAAACAAGTAATGAATTAATGATTTCAATCATAAATAAGAGTCTATCAGGTGACAGTTACCTGAGAATCCATTGTTTCCACATTTCCTCCGTTGCATTTTCTCATGCAAGGATTTCGTAGGATATTGATTAATTTATAAGCTTTTTTATTTTATTTTTTTTATTTGTGAGTTTATTAATTATGTCAAATGGGTTGACAAGCCCTGAGGAGAGAATGGTGTGTCCTCATACCAACACTAATCACATTGCAAATCTTCTTGGGAACTCGGCCGAAAGTAACATCACAATATTCTTCAAATCTGGCTTCAGTTTCACCTCTTCTTGGTCCCTTCACAAGGCAAGCAAACTGGTCATACAGATTATTTGGCTCGGGTACACAAGTCATGGGAAAGTTGATTCCTGACGGTGGAGTAGCTCGAAATTGATGATAACTAAAATGAAAAATCAGAAACAGCAATAAGATTCATGTCAACACTGCAAGCATTGTTAAATTATAGTGTAATGAAGTTTTTCAGGCAAGTATAGAATTAAAAAATTATGTGTATATAGATTATATGTCAATTTATTTAGTTTTTTTTTTTTTTTTTTTTTTTTGCTTTGTTTTTCTTTTCTTTTGATTACCTGACCTGACTTGGCCATCTCTTATTTTATGATATTTCTTAAAGTCATATATATGGCATATTTTTGGTCAGTTCAGATTAACTAAAATAACAAAGACCTTTCTATTTCTCCTGTTACTTACTGTTTATAAAGATGGTACTTTCCTGTACATTACACTATTTATATTGATCGCGTTTCATAGATATCACAGATTTAAAACAATAACCAGTTTATTTCCGACTCCGAATTAAAATATTAGCTAGACACTGTTACTAAAGAAACAATGGGATATTTAAGTTCATGAATGGGTAAAAAATACAGAAATGTATTAATAGAACACCAGTCTATACGGTATACACTAGTACTGAATTTTATTTTTGGAAGTTTATATAATTTGCAAAAATACATGTACAACCACTTTATATAAGTGTATAGCTATCTGGGTCTTATACATTTTGAATACTTGAATCTAATGATGTTAATTATATGTTATCCTGTCCTTAACACAGATTATTCTATTTCATGTCAAATAGTGGGTCAGTTCTAGATCAAGTTCTCAAAGGGGCATTGATATTATGAGGCAATTTAAATTCGGTCCTTATAATTTTTTTTTTCTCAAAATAAAATAAAAGATTATTTTGGTGTGTGTCAGTTTTAGAATTACTCTTAATATAATGTTAGGGTGCAGCAATGTTCAGATATCCACAAAAGTAAAATAAGCAATTCACATGCAAAATGTTATGGGCATCTGCTTCTCAGAAAACTATCAATATTTTAAATTTTAATACAGGGTGCTTCAGCAAACATGGCCTGACTATGTGGTTTCAGTATGAAGTTAGACAGTATTAACCAAATATTTTTTTCTAAAACTGATTACCACATATCCAAACAATTTTATCAATTTGAAAGTTGAATTAATTGTATATCAATTATTTTTAAGACAGGCATGTTTAAAGTTTGAACATCAGTAGCAGTTTTCAATTTAACATCATTGTTATGTATTCTAAAAAGTAACAATATTTCAGTCACCATCTTCATTTTCTCTCTGAAGTCCTTTATGACATATATTTGGATATTTTTAATGAAATGTTTTCTAGAAAGATGGTTTTTATATGAGTATTTTTTTTTCAAAATCTTGTGCACTAATATTGATGATTTCGGAGATTTTCTGCTTGTATTGTTAAATTTGTAAAAATCCATTGATCCAATTCTGAAGGAAAAAATCTAAAAAACTAATTTTTGAAAATGTAATCAAAATGTAAATGGAAAAGATGTAATGACTTCATTTTATATTGTTTATATCACAATGATATATTGCAAGAAAATGGTCTTTAAAATACAGTTATAATTTTATAGATATATTTTATTATTTTGCAAAAATATAGACATCAAAAGTTGGGACATGTTTGTTGAAACACCCAGTACATGTACATGGAATATGAAATCCTGGTAAGTGTAGATCAGTTATCATAATTGAATCATTTAAATTTCAGGCTATTGTGCTTACCCATTCACTGTGGAAATGAAGGCTAGTGGTTTCGATGCTTGGGTATCGGACAGCGCATTTTGCCTCTGAAGTCTGCGGATTCTTCTTAGCCATTTATTTGCTGTGCGCCTACTGACTCCCAAGTTGTCTCTATAGAGAAAAAAGAGTTCTTAAAGTAACGGACAGATGTGACCAATATGGGTTTTGGGAAGAGGTGTAGGAATGCATTTCACCATGATTGGATGGAGAAGTATGGAGATCAAGATCCCAATACAGACATCTTAATCCTACCCAAAGTAAATGAACTTCGAGCTTTTGAAAGCCTAAGTGGAAAGACTTTTAGCCGAAAGAAAGAGACTCGAGTCACAGTGTGTCAATTTTGTGTGGACCTGTTGTACTGTAACCATCCCCATATAGTTGTTGAAGAGAGCTCGCCACTACATGGACACGACTATGCAACACCAGCAAGAAACAGACCAAAAAAGAGGCGTCTTGATATGGATACTCCAGAGCAGCTTGACAGCACAGCCTTGTCCGATGTGAATGACATTGACAATCTCAGTGAAGAGGATTTCCAAAAAATGGTATTCAGGGTCGGGGAAAGGATAGCAGAGACATTGAAAATGCCACAAAAGCAAAGCTCTAAGACTGCTGAGGGGTTAAAGAGATTCAATCTAGAGAGCTATCTAACAGAGTTTGATCCCACAGTACAGAATTTCTTAGAAGGATTGACCAGTCAAAAGAAGAAAAGGGATTAGGACCTGTATCAGAAAGCCAAAGTTGTAGAGTATCTTCTCCACCTTCTGAATCCCCACGTCGTATTGCCACTTTGCTTCATGGAGAACCTGTTGTTATACAATATAACAAATAGCAAGAAGGCGGTCAATCTTCTGGGTGACAGTGGGCCTTATGGGTGCTACGATACTGTAAAGGAGTGGCTGTGCAACCAATCAATGGATCCACTGCCCTTTCCTCAAAATGACTGTGTTGTCATATTTGATAATAATCAAGTAATTGGTCGTTCATGGAGAGTGAAAGTGAACAACAAAGTGAAGTCCTCAGTTGTCACCACAATCTGCCAGATTGAATTTCCTGATCAGAATTTACAGCGTCAAATACATCTGAAGCCCAAGTTCTGGAATGTTAATACCAATCAGCTTGTCAAGTGCGTCAGGGATATTCCAGAAGAAGTTACTGATGTTCACTACAAACACTTGTACGAAGCCTTGGCCGCAAATCTAAAGCTGGTAGTAGAACAGCAACAATGTCTTGAAGCAAACAACAGTTACCAAGATCCCATTGATCTTCAGGTCACACAGCAGAGAAAGGAAGAGGCCACAAAAGTTTGCTGCCAATGTGGACATGTAAATTTGAGGACGAAGAGAATTTGTGGAGCATGTAAAGCCAACCTTAAACAAGCGGAGGCTGCTTCTGTTGATCCAGATGGTCTGGGGACTTATACAGCCAGATGTAGAGCCACAGAACGAAAGATGAAAGAAGTTCGAATGACAGCCTCCAAAACTGATGATGGCCAGTATATCATTAGGCAGGCTACTACTTCTAATGACCACTGCCAGTCCAACAGCAAACATCCAGACACATCACCACTGCTGACCCTGAGCGATCCCTGTTTTGTCAACCCTAACTCCTACAACTCTGCAAGAACCATCTTGAGGCAGATAGGTGTTCAGGGAGGCATCAAACAATACTCTAAGGAAGGAGACAGGGAATGGCTGTTTGTCGTATGTGATGGTTTGCCATTTGGATTGTGTAAGCAGGTCATCAACAACACCTACCGGTGCCAACACTGCACAGATTCAACAGAGTACTTCAATTCCAGAGAGGAGTTTTGTGAGCACCACCAAGAAGCACATCCCGATAAGACAGAGAAAGGTTTCCTTGAGTTCGAGTGGGTGGTTCTACGACCAGGTAATGGCCACTTCGAGATGAACATGTGCAAAACATTTGTAGAGCTAAATTGGGACGTGTTTTTCTCGGACCTCTGCAGAATTATGGGATTCCGGTCTGAGAATGCACAACGTGCAGCTAAGAAATGCAGCGACCATCACAAGACATGGAGCCTTCTAAAGATTGCACATGAAGGGACCTTGCAAGAACTCATGGTGCCATATGTTAGGAAAGCAATGCAGGAAAAGAGAATGATAAGTCCCAGAGGATTCCTAAAGTTTGTGATGGTGGAAGCCAAGAACCCAAACTATGTGTACCTTGCCACAATGACTATGACGTACTTGCAGGCCTTGAAGAATTTCAGAGCAGGACTTAGAGCAGGCGATATAGATGCCATCACTTCAGGAAAGGCTGTTTTTGCCCCCTTATTTCATGCCAGAAACCACCCTCACTACCAAGACATAGAAATGACGGAGGCCATTCAGCGACAGTCTGTTCCAGCAGAAGTGGTGTCCTCATTCAATCAAACAGAGTCAGTGTGCCTCTCAGAGGATAAGACATCAGGTAATTTCTCTATTTCAATGCTTTGTTAAAGGTCAATTTTTTTTATTAAACTTTTCTACTTATCATTTTTTCCCTAAGTTTTTAATTCTAACAGAGTTTCAAACAAAGTTTTAGCTATAAATTTATCTTTATCTATTTATAAGCATGATAACTGTCATTATTACTTGTTTATTACATGCAGTATATATGTGGATACATGCTATATGTAATAAAAATTTAGGTGCAGTAATGTCAACAAGAAAGTCATTGGGCCCTATGAGTTCAATTTTAGGAAATATAGATAAATTTTTGGCTTTGTTTTATGTTGTTCCAATAATGTACCTCATGATTTGTTAATTAGGTGAGGGCTTAGATTTCAAGGCAGAGGTAGTCAATAAGGATGTACAGTCTTGGATGCCAAGGGGAGTGCCTACTGGGGATGATTGGCTGCGTGTAACTCGAAACTTAGAGAACCTGAAAGAGGTATTCTAACTTTATTTGCATGTCTGATTTTTGATATAAAAATATTCCATTCTTTTATTAAGTTTTGTACATCTTTAGTTGACAATTGGAATCACGAATAGCTACAATTTATATGGGAATAGTGAAATATGGCAGAGTTTTATTTTCAAAAATTTCTTAACCTTGTATTGTAAATGGCAAATATGAAACTTTGTATTCTGATTTCAGATCCGCAAACGAGCATATGAAATGATGTGTTCCAGTGCCACATCGACGAATCAACGAAGCAACCAGTCAACAAGTTCAAGATCCAACTTAAGTGAACAGATATTTGCTTGGCGTGTACATTTGCGCTCGAAGGACTACCTCGCTGACCCTTGTGATGCAACAGTGGACCATGTCTCCCTTACATCAGAAGAACTGGATCCATCCCTTATTGACATTACAGCCCGTGCAGAGAATTTAAGGAAGAAATACTTTGATAAACTTTGTCTTGGAGAAACCAGTGAAGACATGGCACCTGAACCCGTGTATGTTACCAAAAAAGAAAGAATGGAGAAGAGCCTCATCTCCAACAAGAGCAAGTCGGAAATCTATGACGTAATTGTGAGTCTGTTGGAAACTGTGTGTAATCCAGACTTGAAACATTCTCTTAAACTGGAATTTCGAGAAATGGTGCCCATTTCAAAAGTGAAGAAGTGTGATTTGTTGAAGTTTCGTGAAATTGTTAATGATGTTTGTTCTCAACAGGATGATGTGATTCTGCAAGAGGATATGTGATTTTGATTTTTGTGTGACAAAGCTATAGCTTTGTGATATGTGAATCTGCATTATGTGATTCTTCTGGAGTATAATTATATAATTTTTGTGCAAACATTGTAACAGAGCAATTAGCTTTAGGATATGTGAATCCGCCATTCTGTGATTCTTAAAGAGGATTTTTTACTGTTTTTTTTTTGTGTTTGTGAAAACGGGTTTGTGAATTTGCCATTATGCTACTTTAAATTTATTTTTTAGCTGTGATATCATAATCTGTCATAACTATTATTGCTACCAGAATTAAGGTTCAAGTTTTTCTCCATAGCATTCAATGTATTTTTTTTTACATTGCAGCATGTAGAAATCAAAAGTTCAAAGTCTGATAAAAATAAAATTGAATTCACATTTTGTTCTTTCTAACACCCCCTTTTCAATCTTAATTTGAAGCATTACATTATTACTTTTTGTATGGTTATGGTAAATTTGGGGGAACTTTATCATATTTATCTCATGTATTTACCTCGCCCAATCCCATCTTTAAAATTAAATTTAGTTTATTTTTATCAGACATTGATCATTTGATATAGTCACCATTACTTATTTAACATTTTGACCACTTTCAGTAATTAGATTTCATAATACTTATCAAAGAAAAAGCAAAGTTAAAGACAGATTTTATTTCTGTTCTAAAAATAAATTCTCATTCTTAAGAATATTAACAACATCTTTCATTGATAAATATAAATGAAATGTTTATAAATTATTTATAACACAGTAGCTATATAAAAAGTCACTCCAAATTATTTCATTACATGTCCATTGATAAATTTATAAATCTGTAATCAACATTATAGGCATACTGGTTTGCTCAGGTTTCACATATGCACAATCAACTGTTAGTTCATGTCTCTTGCACTGCAGTCGGAACACTGCCAGCTCTGGGTTTTCTTGATGACTCCTGGTCTGAGGTGTTTCGGTATGCAGGTTTTGTGCATCCATGATTTGCATGGTCCATCGCAGCCAATCCATACGCGTCTACTCCGGTCATCTTTGTACCTGATTTCACAATACACACACTTGGAATAACTTTCATCATGGTCAAATTCACGGTTTTCCTCCTCTGCCAGGGTTAATTGAATTTCGTCCATAGATTCGATAGCATTGAAGGCTTGGTCCAATTTTGTGCAAAGTTTTCTCCTGGTCCTTGTTGAGTCCTTAGGCTCTGAAGATGGTTGGTCGGCCAGGTTGGACGTCTTGTCCTGTGTGGGAGGTTGGTCCTCTGGGTTGGACGTCTTGTCCTGTGTGGGGGGTTGGTCCACCAGGTTGGACTCCTTGTCCTGTGTGGGGGGTTGGTCCACCGGGTTGGACTCCTTGTCCTGTGTGGGGGGTTGGTCCACGTGGTTGGAATCCTTGGGCTGTGTGGAGGGTTCGTCCGCCGGGTTGGACTCCTTGGGCTGTGTGGGGGCTTGGTCGGCCAGGTTGGACTCCTTGTCATGTGTGGGGGGTTGGTCCACCGGGTTGGACTCCTTGTCCTGTGTGGAGGGTTCGTCGGCCGGGTTGGACTCCTTGTCCTGTGTGGGGGGTTGGTCCGCCGGGTTGGACTCCTTGTCCTGTGTGGGGGGTTGGTCCACCGGGTTGGACTCCTTGTCCTGTGTGGAGGGTTCGTCGGTCGGGTTGGACTCCTTGTCCTGTGTGGGGGGTTGGTCCGCCGGGTTGGACTCCTTGTCCTGTGTGGGGGGTTGGTCCACCGGGTTGGACTCCTTGGGCTGTGTGGAGGGGTTGTCCGCCGGATTGAACTCCTTGTCCTGTGTGGGGGCTTGGTCGGCCGGGTTGGACGCTTTGGGCTGTGTGGGGGGTTGGTCCACCGGGTTGGACTCCTTGGGCTGTGCGAAGGACAGGTTAGGGAAGTTTTCCTGGACGTCCTGGATGAGTGTCTCAGCTACCTTGTCATCGGTTTCTTGGGACAAGGCACTCAAAATGTCGGTGACTTCATCGGGGTCCTTCTCTGGAACAGTAATGCTAGGGGTGCTAGCGTCTATGTCATCATAAAACACTGGTAGGGCTTTCAGGTGGCCGGGCAAGATGGCATTCACTTTGGCACTTTGGTCCTTTCTCACTTTTAAGGGGGAAGGTTTAGGAGGGGCTTCTCCATTGAATGGTAGAACTTCTTGCAGGGCAGTTGATGCTTGGTTTGGATGACATCTTTTTTCGTTACACGATGGCTTGAGTCCATCAGACATGTAGTCGAAATAAAGATTGTCCGTGGCAAAAACCTTGGACCTCTTGCAGTCGGTGTCCTCTATCTTCAAGAATACGGAACACCCCGTGAGAACAGCAAATTCGTAGCACTTGTTGATTAATGTGTCCTTTCTTTTGTTTTTGATAGTGGTTCGTTGTTTTTTGTTTTCTACGTACTGTTTTGCAAGCCTACAATAAAATGGAATATTTAATTTTTTATGGAAGAATTGCGGGGGTTAATTTTTTTTTTTGGTTGGATTCTAAAAAGAGGGTCTAATTTTCATAAAGCAATTTTTTGCAAAGTTGCAATATTTAATTTTATGAAATACTAATTGCATTAAAATAAATTATATCAGGGTTATTTTATGTCAATTTAAAACGTTCCAAATAAAAATGTCCATAGTGAACACAAGTATTGGTTGAAATTAAGGGCAGATGATACAAACAAAAAAAATGGATGCCTGGATTTGTATATATTTCTTGACCTAATTTCATTGCAAATAATAAATTTCTAGAATATAAAGAAATTGTAAACCTTCTGTGATGTTCAAATTCTACCCTTCTGAAACCATCCTCATTATTCTATACAAATATTTTTCACTTCAAATTCAATTTTTGTGAAACTTTGAAAAAAAAAATTAAAAGCTACGTGGTGAAACTTATTCATCTTATTTATAAAAACATTACCCAAGTCGTTATTTTTCAAAACTTTTGACGAAACTTTGTTTGTATCATCTTTCCTTAATTGCTAAAGAACAATAAAACAACAGGAATTTTTTTAAAGTCATATGCTTACTTTTCCTCAGTGAATAAAAATGCACAAAGGAGGTTATTTTTAAGAGGGCAAAATATTCCAAACAAAATATTAATTTTCTTTATGATATTGTTATTGAGGATCTTTATGGATTTTTAAAGAGATTTAACAAAGAACATGAGAAATTTTGCACAAAACATGATTTGGGTGAACCAGTTTAGATCTTGTGAATTTTATGCTGATGACAGACCTCAAGTGAAATAATATCATCATGACATCTTAAAATTTGAAATACTTTAAATGATTTGGAAATAGATTTTCTTTTACTGTATTTTCATTGAGAGAGACACACATACCCACACACTACCTCCCACATGTAAGGAATTTTCTCTCAACTTTATAAATAAATAATTACACATATGTTTTTTTCTGCAAAGCAATAAATGTATTTTTTGTAGGTATTTTCATTTATCTCCAGTTTCACTGACTTTATAGATTGTGAACATTAGTTACACATTTGGTAATGAATTGCATCTTAATTTTATTTGTTGAAAATTGTAAAATTTTAGGCATGTCCCCATTTGGCCATACAATCTTTCTTTTCTTAGATTATCATTGAATGGGGACAGGTATCAATTAATTAATCAAGCAAATGCATAAATATTATCAATATCATAAGTGTAGTCATTGTGAAGCATGGCCAGAGAAATTCAAGTACTCTTAATTATTATTATAAAATTTACAGAGGAATTCATTGAAGTGATAGTCTTTTTCTTTGATACACTTCAAATTATAACCATAAAAGAAAAATTAGCTGTGTAATAGGCTTGGGCCATTCTTCTTTTCCCCCAATTTTTAATATGTTGTAATTATGTGAGGATAAGTGGAGAATTAGCTAGTTCAAACATTGAATTATAGTTGTATCAACATTGATTAATTAAATTTAAAAAGGGTAATTGATGTACATGTAACTATGTTTATTGAATTAATATATTTATATATGACAGGAATAATTTTAATTGCAAGTTGAAGGAATATTAGTATGTATAAAAATACTACAGATTACTTGTATTTGAATTGTGGGAATAATTGTAAATAATCATGGAATCCATTGGAATGTACAATTACTTGCTAGATTGTCATTGTCATTGTAATACTATATACATGATATATTCCCGTAAATTTTATTAATATTGAACTTCACCATTACTCATCTAAATCAATCCTGATCTATAATTTTCACACCCAATGTATATGTTTTCCATAATAACCCTAGCAAATGTTTGTTTATTATTGGCAATTCACATTTTTAAGGAATTTTTATAAATATTTGTCACTTTCTTATCTTTGTGTGAAATACTCAATTTTAGAACCCTTTGTTTTTGATACATTGTATATTAAGAATATTCATGCATAGTTCTATGCAAATGACTAATAAATAGTTTGATTTTGTAAACTTTGACTTGTTATCTTATACATCACATGAAGTGAGCACCATTTGATATGTATTAATCGGGACCATTCTCACTTTTATAAGACTCCTTAATAAACATGACAAACAGAGTCATTGATTAAGCATTAACATGCATTAACATGCACAACTCCTGAATGCATGTGAGGTGCAATAATGAATTTACAATGAGCTTCCTCTGAAAATCAGATTTCGTATCTACATCATGGTAAATAACATAGTGAAGACCATTGGAAACAACTAACTTTTACTAGAGGAAACCACTTCAAAGCTAGGAAGTTTGTTTTCATAGTAAATATCAGATGTGATTATAAAGGTAACCCCAAGACACCTGTCAACTACCACCATAAGTAGCTTCCCATGCAGCAAACAATGACAAAGAAACCATTTTAGGGGGGACGCAAACCCTGTGAAATCCATACCAGGTAAACATAGACAGGTGTCTGTGTATACAACCTCAACATAACCAACCTCATAGTAAATGGGGGGGGGGGGACGAAGAAACCATTTTAGGGGGGTACGCAATCCCTGTGAAATCCAAACCAGGTAAACATAGACAGGTGTCTGTGTATTCAACCTCAACATAACCAACCTCATAGTTAAAAGGGGGGGCATAGTTCGTGTATTCAACCTCTACATAAAATTTTCTATCAAAATCAATATAATAAACTCTTTGATAATATGTCAAAAACACTAACTACATAAAAATAATATAATATCACCTTAAGCATGCTGAGAACTTTAATATGGAAAAGACTACAGTCAAAATTTTTATTCTAAATATTTCACCAAATTCCTCATTTAAATTAAATTTTAGCATGTTTAGTGATACAAAAAATTATCTGAAATTATCTGGTAATTCAAACATTACATTTATTTGAAAATTTTGACTGGAGAGTTTTCTAGGGAAATTGCTTTTAGGAGAGAAGTTTATATACTTACAAACCAAAGTGATATCTTACTATTTCTAGATTAAAATTACTGCATTTTAGCAGCAATTCAACAGAAACAAAATATTAACTCAGATATACTTTTTGTAGACCTTTCATTGATTACTTTTCAAATGTCATACTGACTAAAATTTTGCTACATATTAAAAAGTAAACATGAAATTAGTACTAGATTCAGAACAATTACACAAAAATTTGTCCTTCATTCTACATTAATTGAAGTGAAAATATTCTGTTTCTGTTTTCTTAAAATTGCATTTTACCTGAAATATTTCAAATAGATCAAATATAACTAACTAAATGAATGAATGAATGAATGAATGAATGAATGAATGAATAAATAAATAAATAAATAAATAAATAAATAAATAAATAAATAAAAAAATTACTTAACCATGTTTGCCAAGCTTTAAGTTGAAAAAAAAATAATTTGCTGCAAGGAAAAACATACAAATTCAAGAAAAAAATATAAAGAAAAAAATGAAACATAGATCTATTTGAAATTGTTCAGGTGAAAAGTTATAATAAATAATAAAATAAACCACTAAACTAACCTAGCAGGCATGTTGTTTTTCTAGTAACAGGTGTCTTCTCTGTACACAGGTAAGGTGGGTAATGACTTGATTGCAATCAAACGGTAATTAGTCACGTGACCCGCTCTCGTTACGTCAGAAATTTCACTTTCTGTTTTATTACGAAATAATTATGGTACGACTTGTTTTTATTACGAATCTTTATGAATCAACCTAATTAAAAACTACTTCCGGTAAAAACCGCAATGCATGACGGTGCCAAAGACTTCTTTTTCGGAGTTCACGCCGTTTTTGGAGTTCGTCTAGACTGTTGATGATTGAACATTGTGATTGCGATCGTGCACCCTTGTGGCTACGCAGTGGATTGAGGCTTTGTGAATTTTCAGCTCATGCTGTGATGATAATATAATGCCTTTAATGGGACTATATGGTGATTTTATTCTGTGCGTGGATAAACCTTGATTCTGTTACTTTACCACGACCGAAAGGTCGAGTGACGCCTCGGTACAGGTATGGTGGGCAGCACTGGCTAAAATTGCGCACAATTTACGTGACGCACTTTCCAGTTGATAAACCGTGCAGTATCAATTGAATTTTTGAAAATACAAGGGACGAGAGTAACTTTATTGAATTTGTTATTAACTTCCATTTAAAAATATTAATGAAAGCCTGTGGTCTGGATTTAATTTTTATCTTGGTCCAGTATTCATGTTTTGTGTTTATGATCAGTGTTGAATTTTACGAATCCGATTTCTGTACTCTTATATGGTTTGAGTTTAATATTACCAAGATCCTGCACCCCTATATGGTTGGGGTTTAACATTTGCAGGATCCTGTACCCCTATATGGTTGGGGTTAAAATATTAGTAGGATTCTGTACCCTTATATGGTTTGGGTTTAACTTTTGCTGGATCATCTACTCCTATATGGTTGGAGTTTAATTTTAAGAGGGCCCTGTTCTCCTATATGGTTGGAGATTAATTTTAAGAGGCCCCTGTACTCCTATACGGTCGGAGATTAATTTTAAGAGGCCCCTGTACTCCTAATTGGTTGGAGTTTAATTTTAAGAGGCCCCTATACTCATATATGGTCGGAACTATTGAATTCGTTATTTACTTACATTTGAAAATATTAATGAAAGAGCTACATTAAATTCCTGCAACATTCTGTGGTCTGGATTTAATTTTATCTAGGTCCAGTAATCCTGTTTGTGACTATGATCAGTGTTGAATTTTACGGATCCTATTCATGTACTGTAACATGGTTGGAGTTTAATATTACCAGGATCCGCACCCCTATATGGTTGGGGTTTAACTTTTGCTGGATCATGTACTTCTATATGGTTGGAGTTTAATTTTAAGAAGGCCCTGTTTTCCTATATGGTTGGATTTTAATTTTAAGAGGCACATGTACTCCTATATAGTTGGAGTTTAATATTAAGAGGGCCCTGTTCTCCTATATGGTTGGAGTTTAATATTAAGAGGCCTCTGTACCCCTTTATGGTCGGATTGTAATTTTAAGAGGGCCCTGTACTCCTTTATGGTTGGAGTTTAATATTAACAGGATCCTATACCCCTATATGGTTGGGGTTAATTTTTGTAGGATCCTGTACTTCTATATGGTTGAAGTTTAATATTTGCATGATTCTGTACCCCTGTATGGGCTGGGTTAAATATTAACAGGATCATTTACCTCTATATGGTTGGGGTTTAGTATTAACAGGATCATGTTCCCCTATATGGTTGGGATTTAATTTTAATATTAACAAGATCATTTACCCCTATATGGTTGGGATTTAATTTTAATATTAACAAGATCATTTACCCCTATATGTTTGGGGTTTATATTACAGAATCCTTACCCTCATAAGGTTTGGTTTTAATATTAACAGGATCTTCTACCCCTATATGGTTGGGGTTGATATTAACAGGATCCTGTACTCCTATAATTTATGTTTGGGTTTTAGCAGGATCCTATACTCCTTTATGGTCGGAGTTTATTTTAAGCAGGTTCCTGTTTTCCTATATTTTTGGAGTTTAATTTAGTGAGATCAAGCACCCAAATATGGTTTGGGTTTTTCATGTTTACAGGATACCACCTGTTAAGTCAAGAGTTTCAGTTTAGCAGGTTCCTGTACTTTGATATATTCACAAATTAATTTTATCAAGATTTCACTTCTATACGATTTTAGTTTTAGCAGGATCTTGACACCCAACATAGTTGAGATTATTCTTCATTGTTGTTATTTATGGTCTGCAGAATTACAAATGATGCAGTATTTTTTATTAATTGTAATGTCTATACAAGATGTTGCACGCATACTAATTAATGGTTAAAAAAAAAAAAAAAAAAAAGTCTCCATGTATGGTTGGAGTTAGTCTTTTAGCCTGATTACTGGTTTATTTTGGTGCCCCTATATGGTCGGGGTTTAATTTCTAGCTAGCATAATTGCTTTATTATTGTGCCCATATAAGTTTGCGCGTTATTGTTATGGAAAATTCTTGTGCATTAATTGTACCCCTATATGGTTGGGGTGTTGTATCCAAACTAGGAGTACTGGTTTATTGTGGCACTCAAATAAGCATAATTTCTTCACATTAATATTTGTGCCCTTACATTTAGATATGGTATGGCAAAGTGTGTGCCTGTTATGTTGGTAAAAAAAAAAAAAAAAAAAAAAAAAAAACATATGTGTTTTTCTGTCCCAGGGTGTATGTTACAACTTTATACAAGCTACTTATGCTCCTATATGTAGGTACCCCCTGTATGTTGCTGATAAGGGTATTTCAAAATTATACACATCTCTTGTAGAACTTTAATTTAGCATTCCTGGTAATGTACATTTCAGAATAAGGATTTGATTTATAATGTCAAAATAAGGCTGAGAAATAACCATTTTACTTAGATTGTAAACTTAGATTGTGAATTGCAATTCAAAGTCAAATACTTTCATTATCTTTGATACGCTTTACCTGTCATACTAGTTTTAGATTATATTTAGTAATTTTATTTTATAACCAAAATTCATGTATTTCTAGGTTTTTTTTAGAGAGTCAAGTGAATTAATTCATTGATATACACATACTTACATGTAGTTGCAATACTATAATATCTACTTAATATTAAGTCACAAGTTATAGATGCACATTACTTTTAAAATGAACATGAAACTGAAAGCATCAATGAATCTTAAGGAATTTATCAAGATTGGAAATCTTTTACATGAGTCCAAGTTTTCTTTTCTTCAAAGTTCACTAATTTCTGTATGTACCAAAAAAAAATGAATAAATAAATAACAATAATAATTAAATTAATGGAAAAATAAAATAAAAAATAAAAATAATAATTAGGGAAAAATGGCCTTATTCATCATTTATCTTCCCTGAAAGGGGAGGGGGATCTTTTTGGCGTGTTTGTTCTCCCATCTTTTTTGCAAATTCTTCTAGTCATATTTGTATTTTTTCCTTATGTATATTAATATCCTTATAAAGGATATATTCAAATATGGTCATATGTAACTTTTGTACATATTTGGTTAAATTTGTTTGGCATTACAATAAATGCTCATTTACAACAAACACTTGGTTTTGATATTTGCAAAAAACAGAGCAGAGTAGACTCATTCTTGGAGAAAATAAATTATTTGAGGAAGGTGGAAGACGATGGTATAATTTTAGTAGTAATTAATTCCGACCACAATGGTATTCCATACGGAAGAACTCCATGAAGTGTTTATAAAATGAAAAACATTGATGTACATTGATAAACAGTTGTAATTTTCCAGTCTTTTTTCTTGATATATTCTCCAAATATACCGGGTATAATTGTTAGCATTGATAAAATTCAAACAAAAGTATGGTATTTTAAGCATAAGTTTAATTTTTTCATTATACGAGGGGTGATCAAAAAGTTCGCAAACTAATTCTCTATCTACCTAACTACAGTTCTGACAAGAATGAAATTTGTCGCAAATATAGCTCTAAACATGTGCTTTATGCAGTATGAGTCAGTAGTATAAGGGGTCTAGATAGCCCGGAAGATTCTGATTGGCTGAGAGAAATCACGTGATCAGATTTGATTGGTGGAGGGGATAAATGGGTCAACTGAGTGGTAGCCCTAACCCTAACCCCCTAACCCTAGCCCTAACCCTAACCCTAACCCCCTAACCCTAACCCCTAACCCTAACCCCTAACCCTAGCCCCTAACCCTAACTAACCCTAACCCTAACCCTAGCCCCTAACCCTAACTAACCCTAACCCCCCTTAGCCCTAACTAACCCTAGCCCTAACTAACCCTAACCCTAACTAACCCTAACCCCCTTGGCCCTTAGCCCTAACCCCCTAACCCCCCCCCTAACTAACCCTAACCTATTCCCCCTTAAATACTGGAGTTGTTTACATGGGTACGTAGGTACTACGTTTTTTTGTTTTTATGCTGACTGCACAGGTAAAAAATGCGCCGTGTGCAAAAAACATTTCAAGAATGTGATTATGACGTCACGCATTCATTCACAGTCTAAAGCTCAGTCTAGCCTAACCGGTTTGAACTGGTTTTACTGAAAACAAGAACACAGATTTTGATTTTTATTCAATTTTATTCAAGT